AATAATAATAATAATAATAATAATAATAATAATAATAATAATAATAATAATAATAATAATAATAATAATAATAATAATAATAATCATTATGACCACCATTACCCTTGTATTATATCATAAATATTACTTTAATTTAAAATGATGACAATTTAATTTAAAACAATCATATGTATATAAAAAAAATATCGATAAAACTTATTTGGAATAGTATATATTATGATATTTTAAAAAGCTTAATATTTAAAACTAACGAATCCCTAAATCCGCTGGTAACCACTCTCATAAACGCGGAAAGGAATGGAAAACAGAGTATTTTAAAGAATTTGTCCGTGAAAGTGGATGTACAAAACATCGCGGTTGATTTTAATGTAGTTGTAAATATCTATAGTATAGACATCATGGAGACACTTAACAATAAAGGACGTGGATAGAAGCTGAAAACGTTTTTCAACTTTGAATTAATTAAAGAATATCAAGACGTCGTTCGTAGGAAATGTCTCCCATAGTAACAAGCTCTAGTCATTTAGCGTTGAACTTGTTCAAGTTAGTTGAAATGTCACTTTTGATGGGGCAAACCAAGCAGGTATACCGTATTCCAAAATTGGACGTACAATAGCACAAAATAATTTTGGAATTACAATCAGTGTCCCTACAATGACCAATTCTATTAATAAAACCCATTAATTTCGAAGCCTTAGATCTGATCTGAGTCACATGCAAAACTCAATCAAATTTTTAGGTAAAACTTACCCCATGTACTAATAAGAAGTAACCTGGCCCAATGTTTCGACACCTATTATATAAAAGTCCCGTTCATAAAACTGAGTTGGTTAATGTTATTACGTAATTTAAAAATAATATTGATAAATTTAATAGGCCTACTAATGTAATAAAACCTATGTGTAATTTTATTTCTAAATCCCTATGTAATATTTTTAATATTTCAATCTCTCAAGGTATCTTTCCTGCCTGACAAACTTAGACAAGCTAAAGCACTCCTGTTTACAATGCTGGGAATAAATCTGAAATAAACAATTTTCGCCCAATTTCTATATCAATGATCTCCTCCAAACGTCTTTCATTTTGTATGCTAATGATACCACCATTTTATATTCTATTAAGTAACGTGGATTCTCTTTTTAAAGTTGTCCATTGGAACTGAAAGCTGTTAGGCCTACTGATTACTTTTTCTGTTAAAAGGTTTTCAGTTAGTGTAACCAAGTGTAATGCTATTGTTTTCCATGGTCGTAATAATCCTTTCTAATAAAATAGTTAAATTAAATCATGTGGCTATTCCATTAGCTGACAAAGTTAAATTTCTGGGATGTATTTGTAAAAAATTATCGAAAAACAGGTATTATTTATAGTTTTTCTAAATTTCTAAATCTGCTCCTCAATCAATCTCTTATCTTCCCAATTTGAGTTAAAGTGTAATATTGTCTGTGCCAACAGATATTCCTATACTCAGACAGACTTACCAAACACAATAGAAAGCTTTTAGAATTATTTCTTTTTCTCAGACTTTTAGCCATACTATTCCTATCTTTTCGTTATTAAAGTTATTAAAATTTGCTGATATTAATAACCTTCAACAATGCGCAATATATTTATTTTTATCTTGAAGCTAATACATTGATCTTTTTCAAGAAATACCAAACATAATGATATTTTCTTTTAAAAAGAGTTTAGAATTTAATGAAACATTTACATTAGCTTTAAAAGTATGGTATATTGCAACTTGAATTTCCATAAATTGGAAAACTCGATAATTCCAATGTTAACATATATTAATTAAGGAATGATGGTGGATTATAATAAACTATGTCATTTTAGGGTTAACGAGGGTTAACTATTCAAAAATTCAATCCAGAATCAGAGTAATTTTCAGTTTTACGCTGCCTTAGCTTTTTAGTCAAACAAATCGATATTTAGACAAAATTATAATGAACACAGAAGTAATTTTAACAGAAATATTTTGCGGAATCTGTGTCTGAAATATACACATAATAACATACTAAAAGTCCAAAAAACCCAATATGGGGAACATTGTTTATTATAAAGATATTTAATGGGTTAAAATCAAACGCTTTATTGCACAACTGCTCTGCTGGAAGCATATAAATGCATGTAGTTGCAAGTTGTTGCTAACGAAAAATGTGAATTATAGGTAATACGCCCGCGCGCAATCCAAAGACGGGGAACACATAACGTGTCAAAGAGATCAGTTGCCGAGTGATCTCCTTCTCAATAATACCTCCATGGTATTATTACATGAACGAATTCCGTAAAATATTTATGTTAAAATTACTTCTGTGTTCATTATAATTTGGTCTAAAGATTGATTGGTTCGACTATAAAGCTAGTCAGCGTAAAACTGAAAAAATACTCAGATTTTGGATTGATTTTTCGAATAGTTAACCCTCGTTAACCCTAAAATGACTTAGTTTGTTATAATCCTCAATCATTTTATTAATTAATATCTGTTAAAATTAGAATTAGCGAATTTGGGCCAATTTATGAAAATTGAAGTTAAAATATACTATACTTTTAAAGGTCATGTAAATGTTCCATTAAATTTGAAACTTTCTTTGGTGGAAAATATTAATATGTTTGATATTTTATGAGAGATAACTGTATCAGCTTCAAAATGGAAACGATTGCGCAGCCATAGTGATTGACTATATGTAGTGCGCATCGAGAAAAAAAGGTGCTCTCCATTTCGCCATGTTCAATTTTTTGGTAAACTATGCCTGCTGAAAAGTTGCTGGCGGGGAACACTCGGACTTCAGAGGCATCGCGCAAACGTTCTTCACGCGCTGCGGCAGCTTTGATCTTGGTTCATTTTGCATAGCGCTGCGTGCGCGTAGCTTTTTCGAGTGATCTCCTTCTCAATAATACCTCCATGGCCTAACCAAGACTGACTAAAAGTACTTTGATAATTATAATAATAACATACCAGCAAACACAGAACAGTTATAACATTCACGAACGTTGTTAATATTCTGACTAAATTGTCAGAAAATAACGTTATCACAACGTTGCAACAGCGCCTACAACGTTTTTTATTAAGGCATTCCATTATAAGGACGTAAATTTATTTTATAGCAAAACCCCATTATGAATACCAATCTGCAACGTTATTATAACGTAAAATTGTTAGCTAAGACATTTACTGAAAACAATTATAGCTTTTGCGAGTGTTTTTGTTGGCGTTATTATATTTGTTTATAAAACTTAATAGTAAATTTAAACATTACTGTGTTAAAATTTTGTATCAACAATATTATTTTTATCATAAAATACATTTACTATTTCTCTCAGAAGTAAGACTTGTCGGAGGAAGTAACAACAATAAAGGACGAGTTGAAGTATACATACAAGGGGAGTGGGGTACAATATGTGATGATGATTGGGACATAAATGATGCTCGAGTTGTTTGCAGACAAGTAGGCTTTGCAGATGCCATCTACGCTCCACATGCAGCTTATTTTGGAGAAGGATCTGGAGATATCATGTATGATGACGTTGCATGTACAGGAAATGAGAGCGATATTTCCAGTTGCCCCAACAGTGGACTTCGATTCCACGACTGTAGTCATTATGAGGATGCAAGCGTCATCTGTACTAGTGAGTGTAAACAATTTCTCTCGAATTGGTGGTGTTATAATTCAGGGATGTTTTTCTGTTCCTATGTGTTCTCCAGTTGAGGGTTCGAATTAAAACAGCGAGATGGAGAATGGTTCACCTTCATTGAACCCCTGTCGACACTATCAAATCTTATGTGACAAAAATATATATGCCCATATTTGGGTGTAAAATGACATCAAGCCCGTATATAGGCACATTAAACAAATTTGTTACAGAATATGGTTCAATTATCTTCAAATATATAAATTTATCTCATAACATAATTATTATTATTATTATTTTTAGGAAGGATGTATTTTCAAACTGATGTGTCTATTCACAGAGGTCATATCAACTTAATTCGTTCTTATTCATCAAAACCATATAAAATTACAAAATTACTTTGTTTTGTATCATTTAAAATGATACAAACAATTTACTATGTTTTGTTCATTTAAAATTATACAGATAATTTACTATGGTTTGTATCATTCGAGATGATACAAACTGTAGTAAATTAAATTAGTTTACTTGAACAGAAAAAATCAATTTATTATGATTTGTATCATAAAAGTGAAACAAACCATTTAGTAAATTGATATTTTTTTGTGTTAAAGCAAAGTAGACACTTTAAAGCTCCTGGGAGCTTGATGTACGGTGTCCCAGTAAAAGATATCAATAAACTCAATTGAAAGTAGGACCTCTAGCTTGGCCTAACTGTGTACACTCGGTAGTCATAATGTTCGTTATTCATAATTTTCTCATGTTAATAATAATCTTCTCACCTGAAAATAGTATATGGAATAATATGGGTACCGTTTTTAAAATTTTGTATTAGGGCCTAATATTGTTTTTATTATAAAATGCATTTGCTCAGAAGTAAGACTTGTCGGTGGAAGTAACATCAATGAAGGGCGAGTTGAAGTATACGTAGAAGGGGAGTGGGGCACAATATGTGATGATCTGTGGGACATAACTGACGCTCGAGTTGTCTGCAGACAAGTAGGCTTTCCAGATGCCATCGACGCTCCACAGTCAGCTCATTTTGGAGAAGGATGTGGAGATATCATGTATAATGGCGTTGCATGTACAGGAAATGAGAGCGATATTACCAGTTGCCCCAACAGTGGACTTCGATCCCACAACTGTGTTCATCATGAGGATGCAAGCGTAATCTGTACTAGTAGTGAGTATAAACAATCTCCCTCAAATTAATGATGTTATATTTCGGGGATTTTTTTCTTTTCCCATGTGTAGTTGAGAGTTCGAATTGAACAGCGAGATGGAGAATGGTTCACCTTCATTAAACCTCTGTCCACACTATCAAATTTTATGCGACAAAAATGTGATATACCCATAATCGGGTGTAAAATGACATCATGCCCTTATATTGGTACATAAAAAACGAATTTGTCACATACCAGTTGATAGTGTGGGGAAAACTTACGAATGTGGTTCAATTATCTTCATATAAATTTATGTCATAACATCCATAGTTTGTTAAGGAAGGATGCTTTTTAAAACTATGATGACGTGTCTATACACAGAGATCATATCAAATTAATTCGTTCTTATTCAACAAAAACTACCGGTATATAAAATGATAATTTTATATAATAAAAACTTACCATGGTTTGTATCATTTAATATGATACAAAGAATTTACTAGGGTTTGTATCATTTGAAATTATACAAACCATAGTAAATTGTTTGTATCATTTAAAATGATACAAACAATTTACTATGGTTTGTATCAATAAAATGAAACAAACCATAGAATTTTTTTTTTCTTGAAGCAAAGTAGACACTTTCAAACTCCCATGAGCTTGATGTACAGTGGTGCCCCTATAAAAGATATCAATAAAGTCAATTAAAACTACCTCCATGATTAAAAGTAGGACTTGTAGCCTTGGCCCAACTTGGTAGGCCTTTTATACTCCGCAGTCATGAGGTTCGCTATTCTTGAGTTCCTCTGTCCATAAGGTCCGCTAGTCATAAGGACCATTATGTATAAGGTTCGCTGCTAATAATAGAAAGGAAAGTTCGCTAGTCATGATAAAGGGTTCTTATAGTCATAATCATGAAAAGGTTTCGCTAGTCATAATATAGGACAGTTAGTCATAAGGTTCGCCAGTCATAATAAAAAGAAGTTATCTAGTCGTAATATCAATACTAAAAACGAGGTTCGCTAGTCATAATAAAAAGAGACTCGATAGTCATAATAAAAAAGAGATTCGTTAGTAATAATACAGAAAGTTTAATAGTCATAACAACAAAGATGTTAGGTCGTCATAATTCATGAAAGATGTTCGATTTTCCAACCGTTGAACACAGATACAGTGGCCTATAATTGGTGATAGTAAGTGGTGCTAATTATTGTTTGACTAGAACTTCCATCTAAAAAGCCATGTTGATAAGGTGAAAATAGTTTGTGAAAATTTAAATGGTTTAGTAAATGTTTACTGACAACTCTTTCTAATAACTTTCCAACCGTTGAACACAGAGACAGTGACCTATAATTGGTGATGTCATTAATTGCATCGGCCTTATGTAAAGGAATTACATTGGCCATCGTCCATTTAGAAGGGAAAAACTCCCAAACGGAGTAATAACAATTCAGCCAGAGGCTCATATATGCAGCTGATAGTTTGAGCATTGTAGATGTAATGTTATCGGGGCCTGCTGCTTTACGATTTTTTAATTTGTTGATAAGTCTAAGGATTTCGGTTGGCGTAGTTTGAATATTAGTAAATGGACGTAGGCCATTGTGTTTTTTACAATCAATAATATGAACATGGGTATTGCTAAACCCCGCAAAACCCGCATACCCCGCAAACCCCGCAAACCTAAAAAAACACAGTGCAAACCCCATCCAAACCTTGTGATAATGATTGAATCACATAGTATAGACTCAACTTGGTATCTCGATTTTTAAAAATCTGAATTGGTATCTCACTAACTTGGTATCTCAGTAAAAAAAATTATAATGTTCCATTCGTAACAACCTACTTTTTGGGTAAAAATGTCATTTTTTGATTAAAAACATTGCTAAACCCCGCAAACTCTGTGATAATGATTGAATCACAATTGAGATACCAAGTAAGTCCTATACTACATGATTCAATCATTATCACAGGGTTTGGATGGGGTTTGCACTGTGTTTTGGGGGTTTGCGGGGTTTAGCAATTTTTTTATACAAAAAAATGGCCTTTTCCCCATAAAATAGGTTGTGACGAACATAAAATTATGATTTGTTTTAATAAGATACCAAGTTGAGTCCTATACTATGTGATTCAATCATTATCACAGGGTTTGGATGTGGTTTGCACTGTGTTTTGGGAGGTTTGCGGGGTTTAGCAATGTTTTTAATCAAAAAATGGCGTTTTTATCCAAAGAGTAGGTTGTTACAAACGGAACATTGTAATTTTTTTTACTGAGATACCAAGTTAGTCTTATACTACATGATTCAATCACTCCACATGGTTTGGATGGGGTTTGCACTGTGTTTTGGGGGGTTTGCTGGGTTTAGCAATTTTTTTATACAAAAAATGGCCTTTTTCCCCAAAAAGTAGGTTGTGACGAACATAAAATTATGATTTGTTTTAATAAGATATCAAGTTGATTCCTATACTATGTGATTCAATCATTATCACAGGGTTTGCACTGTGTTTTTGGAGGTCTGTGGGGTTTAGCAATGTTTTTAATCAAAAAATGAAATTTTTATCCAAAAAGTAGGTTGTTACAAACAGAACATTATACTTTTTTTTACTGAGATACCAAGTTAGTCCTGTACTACATGATTCAATCACTATCACAGGGTTTGGATGGGGTTTGCACTGTGTTTAGGGGGTTTGCGGGGTTTAGCAATTTTTTATACAAAAAATGACATTTTTACCCAAAAAGTAGGTTGTTACGAATGGAACATTATACTTTTTTTTTTACTGAGATACCAAGTTAATCCTATACTACATGATTCCATCACTATCACAGGGTTTGGATGGGGTTTGCACAGTGTTTTGTGGGGTTTGCGGGGTTTAGAAATTTTGTTATACCAAAAATGGCCATTTTACCCCAAAAATAGGTTGTGACGAACATAAAATTATGATTTTTTTTTTATTGAGATACCAAGTTGAGTCCTCTACTATGTGATTCAATTATTATCATAGGGTTTGCATGGGGTTTGTACTGTGTTTTTGGGGGTTTGCGGGGTTTAGCAATTTTTTTATACAAAAAATGGCCTTTTTACCCCAAAAATAGTTTGTGACGAACATAAAATTAAGATTTTTTTTATTGAGATACCAAGCTGAGTCTTATACTATGTGATTCAATTATTATCACAGAGTTTGGATAGTGTTTGTGGTGTTTTTTGGGAGGTTTGCGGGGTTTAGCAATACCCTATGAACATTAAAAGAAGTCTCAGTGTTATTAGTAATATTTGATTTAAAATTATCATTAAATGTTTGTGATATTAAAATTGGATCATTAACCAGTACAAACTTTGAGCACTTGGTTTTTGCTCTTGACTTGCGGAAAAACTACCAAAATGCTTTTCAATTGTCCTCAGATTTTAAAGCTAAATTTCTTACATAACAGTTGTATGATCTTCTTATACACGACTTTAAATTGAGTAAATTTGATCAAAATTTAAAATTTAAAAAATAGAAGTCAGTTTCTTGACTAAATTACATGAGTTAAAATTATTGCAGGAATATCTAATATTAAAATCATCAGAGTGTATTACACTATGAAAGAGGTGCACGTCAGCAAGTACAACGTCAATACACATTTCAAGTTTATCAAAGAATGTTATGTAATTATATCAAAGGGGCGGGGCTTAGCGTAAAGGTCCATTATCCTTCAGTTATACTACTCTTCTTACCAGAAGATGTGATAATATGTAAATTGTTTTACCCTGTGTAAATCGGCGTTTAAATTTATATGCATATAATAAAAGTTGTAGACTGAAAGTACTTTGATAATTATAATAATAACAAACTAGCAAACACAAAACAGCGAACGTTGTAAATATTCTGCCTAAATTGTGTTAGAAAATAACTTTATCACAACGTTGCAACAACACCTACAACG